GCTGCTACTAGGGGATCGGATTCATCACTAGTCACCAAGCGCAGGCTCGGTGGTCTAGTGGTTAAGACATCAGGCTAGATTACCCAAATCATTTGTGAATTTGGGGATGTACTGACCTTTTCTTAGGCTTGACATCATTCTGCAGACTGTCATTATTGTAATCAGTCATCAGACAGTCATCCATGTAAGTATTTTGAAAAATAGCAAATAGTAAATTTTTTCATGAGGCTCCAAATTTTGATGAGGGCGGGGACTATAGCAATTAATTTTATTTGGCCCTAAATAAAATTTTTAAAATTTTGGTTCGACTATAACCAGGGACTAAATTCTAAGCCATTTGATTCAGCAAGGTCTCTTTATGGGGATTTTTTGAAATAAAATAATATATTGTCTATTTTCACTTTCTCTAGTCTTATGGGTATATACCCATAAGACTACTTATTGTGTAAGAGATAACATCACATGACCGTTTTGAAGAGGGAAAAACCTTAAATTTTGAAGAAATTAAAAGTCATAAAGACCCCTCAGAAGTCGGGAAAGCTCTTTTCCGGCCATCTATGAATCAACATTTTCCCAGGGGAGGGCCCTGGACCCCCTTCTCTTTTAGGAAAAAATATTTGACTTCAAATCCTGGATCCGTCCCTGAACCAGTGCAAAGCACTGGGGATTGGGGCTATTATGGGATGGGAACATCCCAAAACACAGTATTATATTGTAATTAATAATAAATGTCCTCCCTTTTATTTCTAATAGAAAAAATAAACAGCCAGTGAGACCCTCAAAGGGATTTGTAACAAAAACTGAAAACGCAATCATCACCTACGGTAAATAAACATTTGTAATTCAATAAAACTAATGTGCGTCGGAACATCTGGGGCTTAGAGAGGAAAAGGAGAGTATAAGGGAAAGAGATTTACTACTTGGTTCCTCTAATACCAGGATATTAGTTTATTAACACTTTAATGAACCATGAGATTGGAGACTCAGTTTTGTATTTGTGGGAAGTATGGGTAGGTTTTTTTGCTTGTTTATATTTTATATGTATTCCTTTTATTTATATTCATTTGTTTTATTTTTATAAAATGCATTCCCATAACTATGTCTTCAAATTTCTGAAAAATTGCCGTAGCACCTAATAATTTGCATTGAGTGCAAGATATGGGTTGCTCAAAATTGCAGGTTAATAGTAATAAACAGAACAGGATGAAGATTTACGGGCCACTTTTACAGCAGTTTTCACAATAATTTGTCAGTAATCTGACAAGTATGAGTTGTCTAGGCACAATGTAACAAAAGATCCTGTTCTAAGTCATTTGTGCTGATTTTTAGACCTATATATTTATGGATCTAGACCTGGTAATTTTAATAGTATTTTTGTCTATATCAATACATCTGTAATTAAGCAAAATTTCCACAGCAGTCAGTAGAAACTACAGAAGTTCTGTAGTAGGCACTACAGTAGGCTTGTCAGGAAAACTTTCGTCCGGGGCTAAAATCGGTCTGCCGGACCTATTTTGGCTATAAAATGACCTGCCAAATGTAGTCCACATAAGCCAAAAGCAGTCCGGCATCTATTTAGTAGTATAACCTGTATTTTTTAGCATTGTTCATATTTGATTTTAATCCAATGATAGATAAATATCTCATTTCTTATTATATAATATTTTTTCATTCGTTGTGTGTGCAATTGAGTATACTGTCAGCCACAAAAATTAGTATGTATTTTTGCTCTTCGTGCCCAGTAAACTCTTTGGTGTAAAAGTTAGAAAAGAAGTTAAACGATATGATCGTAAATCGTGTTGGTCCGTTTAGTTATTTTTTTTACCATGTTTTGTTTTGGTTGCGTGCTTGCTTAACGCCGTGACAAAATACATGAGCAATCATTTCAAAGAGATGATTGACCCTTTTATTTTCATGTAATAGAACAACTATTGTATGACCTAATACCCCACACAAATTTAATATGGAATATTTAAAACAAATACATCAGTCTTGTGTTTCATTTTAGGCCCAAACCTAGGCTACGCACATCAGCCGAAAATGATGCATGCTGTGTGTTGCCTAGATCTAGGAAATGCAATTATCATGTGTGTTTGATACACGTCCACAAAAGCTTAATATAATAGGAATCATTCTGTCACTGCAAAAGATTTTTCAAGTGTAGGAGAAGCATAGATTAATTCCCTCCACTCCACGGGTCAAAAAAATGCCTACCCTACGGGCAACAGACTAACATGTTACAAGCAGCCATGCCGACGAATCAATTTTATCCAAGTTGGACTGATTTTAGCGGCTAAAATAGACCCAATGGACCAATTTTAACGGCCAAAAGTAGTCCGGTGGACGGACTTTGGCAGACAAAATCTGTCCGCTGGACCTTTTTTGGCACAGACCAATTTTGGTGTGACAGGCCTACTTGAAAAGTACTATACCTACTCTTTTTTTTGTAGCAGAGAACTGAGTCAAGAATATATTTCTGAATCATATCTCACACATTTGATTTATGACAATAACCTAATTAAATTAGGCCTGGTATAGGCTAGTAATATAATAAAGTTCTCTTTCTCTCGAGATATAGGCCTAGGCCTAGCTACAGTAGCCTAACTAAGCTTGCCTGCATACAATAAACAATCCTTTAGAATCCTCTCTAATCTAACTAGGCCTAGTGGTGGTGGTGACCTAGCAAGACACTAACTTAGGCCTAGGCATACAAGTAGCTTGATAGAGACTTACTACAACAACCAGGCCTAGGGCCTAGCCCTACCCGTCCCCAATCCAAGCTTAGCCCTGACTGCTAGACTCGCTAGGCCTAGTATAGATATAGGCCTACCAAGCAGACGCAAGCTGAAGTGTTATGTTGTTATGGGAACCACCCGAACCAGCTACTTCAACGGTCGATAAGTTGGTTACATTAAAGAAAAAAAGGATAGTATTTACCTGTTATGTGTTGCAATATATTTTATAGAACGTCATTAAAAAGATCAAATCGACTCAAATATTGTCATTGATAAACCACGCCTTCACACTGCACGCTCAAACACAGCAATCTTTTACAACAGTACAGCTCAGTAACATGTGAATGAATTTCCATGAACAAACACGAAATAGAAATGACGTAATCTCAACTACCCATGGTGATGAATTAAAATTTGAAAGTACTGTAATAAACTTATTTTTAATAATAATATTTTTACATTTTTTAATTTATCTATTATATATTCGGCACACTTAAACAAATCGTATTAAAAATGGGCAGAGGTGTGCCAAAACTTTCAATCAACCCTCCGATTTCGGAGTTTTTGCATACTATAAAGTATAAAACAAGCTCTCGCTATATAGACAGTAAATTAAAATTGCGCAAAAACTCCGAAATCGGAGGGGTGATTAAGTTAAAAGATTAAAAGCAGTATTCGTTGCAAGATAAAATAGGATTTTCGTTTTTGTTAAATGATTCTAAAATAAAATTTAAAAATAAAAATGATCAGAAATAATTAAATTGAAACAGAAAGTTAGTAAGCACTGTGCTACATCATAATGGAAACAGGAAGGATGGGGAAACGGCATTCAGACAAAAAGTGTTTTCGTTTTTTATAGGCCTATATAATTTTTTTCTGTCCTGGTGGCTCTGCAAAAATGTCATGCCCTGTCGGACAGCTCCCCTCTCTCATAGAAAAACGAAGATAATAACGAAATTACAGTATATGAGGCATCAGTGTGATGGGTGCGCGTTTCTTATGTAGCGGCCTATGTTCCCAATTATCAACTTGGTATTTCAATACAAAAACATCAAAATCGCAAACAATTAAACATTGTAATTTGCATGCATCATAAATACTTTTTAAAAAATGATGCAAAATTCTAGTAGCCTAAGCTAGGCCATTTCGTAAAATTTCAGTTTCTGGTCATCAGTTCACAAGCCAGACATTCGTGAGTTAAAAAAGAAAATTGTTTTGACACCTTTTTTACTAGTGTATCAGGCTCCGCAGTCCCGGGGGGGGGGTCACTTGTATACCAACCTTACAGGAGAAGGGGGGGGGGTGCAGCAGCCACTCTTTATGAGACACTTGCGCTACCTATTTTTACTGAAAATTATTGACGTTTATTGACGAAAATTATTGCGTTTTGCAACCGAATTGGACCTTACGATGGGCTGGGATTCCTGAGAGGGTGGGGCGAATCTTATGTAAGCTCTGACAAATTAGAATTTTGAGGGCCTTTTTCAATGGATTTCTAAAATCCATAATTTGTAATATCCTATTTAAATTTTCATTCATTTGAGTATTGTCTACTAGGACCTACAGTAGGCCTAAAGCAGGAGAGACAAAACTTGCACAGACAGATGGTAAGAAAATTTATGATTATGGCACCTCAAAGTGGCCAGAAATGGCACTCTCAAACTTTAATTATGATTTTTTTTTTTTCCATTTCTTTTATAATTTTTATCCAGTACTGTGAAATTATAATTGTCATGTCCTTTACATCTGTGTAGGCCTACAGTTGGAGCTGATAATTTCCAAAAGATTTCGTAGCACATTATTAAAAAATCAACGGGTAAGAGTGTGGGCAAAAAAATGTAATGCATACTATAGCATTTCGCGATAATAAGGAACGATTTTAGTAAAAGTACGGTAATAGGTTTTAAAAAGTGGACTTTTTGAAATTTGGTGGTCCAGGGGCAGAGGCCTGGAGGGGGTTTGTGAGTAAAGCGACAAAGTAGCATTTTGAGGGTCTTACATAATAGATTTCTCAA